CGGATCATCGGCTCTGAGAAGGACGAAGACTATAGAGAATTCCTCAATCAGATAGACAATTCTCTATCAGCATAACTAATACAAGTAATTCTTCGTATTTTTGTTGAGCAAACGCGAGGTGTTATTATTCTTTATTCACAAATGAGCTGACGTTTCGGCGGATTTCGCCTTCCTCAGAGCCTGGAAAGGTCAAGTTGACAGCAATCTACTTGGCCAGACGCCTCCATAACCAAACAAAGAAACTCTGGAGAGTTTAGAGAAAGAGTTTAGTTTAGAGAGAGTTTAGAAGAGAGAAATAATAACACCTCGCGTTTGCTCAACAAAAATACGAAGAATTACTTGATCAATGCCGAGGTTAATAGAAAGTCGGTCGTGGGAATAACTAATACAGTTCAAGCATTGATGGGGATCGCGTGGCTGCAACGCCTCGCGCGTCTTCTGCGTCCATATCCCGTTCCGGCCATGGGACACACCCAGTAGTCCCGCCATTTGACCCAATGAGGCCGTCGAGACCGTCCTCGCCAGCTCCATCATTAGTTCTACCCCATTTGATTTTACCTTGTAGATTCATTTCCTTAGGTCATAATGATAGTATATGTAATCCTTAGCCCTTGAATCGCTGACACATTAGTGTTATCGTTGTTTTTCGTGTAATTATGTTATCCGTGTTAACATAAGTTAAATACATTCATTGTTCACAGGTACCTCACAAACGGTTCATAGTTCTTGCGCACTCTCGCGAACGCCCCTCACATCTTTGAGCTGTGAGCCGTTACAAAGACGTCGAAACGTTAGCCGAAAATAAATATAATTATCAACCTCGTGTAAGCTAATCAACGAAAGAATGCGTATTGACTATCGAAGTGTTTTTTCTTTTACTGAAATGATACAGTACTTAATTGGGACGCTTTGATAGCACAGAAGTCTTCTGTTGTCTTGTGAACACTTCGGTGTGATTCTTAGTGTTACACTCTGTTGCGGTTCTTAATAGCTCTCGCTGTCGTCCACGAACCCGGTTCGTTTATCGTCGCACATCGTTTCAAACTGATGCTTCATAAGAAAGAGATAGGCATCTCATCACTTCGATATTCTCGTAATCTCTTTAATACACCGTTTTTGAGGTGAAGTTCAACGAGTGTCTCATCGAAACCACTCAATCAGTGTCTGTCCTTTTCACTATTCATCATTTGTTTTAAATATGATTGTTATCTTAACCCTTTTATTTACTGCCTTTTTCTTCTTAATTGCAGGGTATGTTGCGAAATCTAACTCGTATGAAATGCTGAGATATTTGCAAAACTCCGGACCACAGGTGTATGCAGTGGGGAACGGACACGCGCTGTTGTCCTTACCGGGGAGCAGCGCACTTCCTCCCCTCCCTTCCTCAATCCCGTTGACTGGTGATTGCTGATCGCAAAAAGATCGATAGAACTAGCTGAGAGACAGGCAAAACGAAGGACCCGGATGGTGTAGTGGTGAAGTGCGCTGCTCCCCGGTAAGGACAACAGCGCGTGTTCGTTCTCCACTGCATACACCTGTGGTCCGGAGTTTTGCAAATATCTCAGCATTTCATATGATTGTTATATGAATGCTTCGTTTCNGAAACGAAGCATTCATATAACAATCATATGAAATGCTGAGATATTTGCAAAACTCCGGACCACAGGTGTATGCAGTGGAGAACGAACACGCGCTGTTGTCCTTACCGGGGAGCAGCGCACTTCACCACTACACCATCCGGGTCCTTCGTTTTGCCTGTCTCTCAGCTAGTTCTATCGATCTTTTTGCGATCAGCAATCACCAGTCAACGGGATTGAGGAAGGGAGGGGAGGAAGTGCGCTGCTCCCCGGTAAGGACAACAGCGCGTGTTCGTTCTCCACTGCATACACCTGTGGTCCGGAGTTTTGCAAATATCTCAGCATTTCATATGATTGTTATATGAATGCTTCGTTTCCTTGTTCAGCAATCGCGAGGTTGTTAAACAGCATACATTTACTTCCATGGAGAAACACAATACAATACAACAGTAGCTGACGTTTCGGCAGTATTGCCTTCTTCAGGGCCGCTTTTTACATGGTTTCCAATGAGGAAGATTAGAACAGCTGATTATACTCGCATGTGGTTGATGACTCTATGACTGCTATGTTATACAAGAAAGGACGGCTAACTGTCTATTCGATGAGCCATTTTCTTCGCAGATTTCTCTGTGAAAACTCTTCGCTTCACTATGATCCTCAGACTTTCTTTCCTTCTTGCAGATCTTTCAAAAATTTTCGAGTTAATGTCAAAGGGAGACATAGATCACTTTGGCAGCGGTAGCTTGTGATTTGGAACGTTTGATGGTTGGTTCGGCCTAAATTGTTCGATCTGCAACAAACGGAAAGTACACTTGCGTATAGAGCTAATCTCACATTTGTTTTTGTTCCCAGTTTCTTTCCAATAATGTACTGATAAGACAATCAGTTTCTCTTCAAAATAGCAGCCCATCCGCATCCCCATT